TGGTGAGTTTAACCTTGGAGCTGTCAAATTCTGTCATGAATAATGAACCGTGACAACATTCCAACATCCTTGGACAACAGAAAAAAAAATCTCCTCTATGCTAAGCAAGGCAAAATGTTGTTACTACTTTCCAATAGAATTTTACTTGCCAAGAAAATGTATGAAATGTATTGTATTTAAAATTGAAGGAGCAGAAAAATCAATTTCTCCGTATGTTATGAATTCCATATACTAGAGCAAGAAAATACGTGCATATGAAAAAAAATTCAACTATATTCCAAAGAAGCAAAGCCCAGGGAAAAGATTGAAACTGTTACACGAATTATTGTTGAGTTCATGGGTACCGTTCAGCATGATAATGTAAAATTCATTTCAATTAAGCCATGTGACTGAAAAAAAGAAGTTATATGCATGCAAATGAGCATGTGCACACACACACACACACACACATACATACATACATACATACATACCATTCATTTCATGTTTTGAGGAGACTCTGAACAGCTTTAATATAATCAAATAAAGAATTACCAACGTCTAATCAGGCAATCTATTTATTAAAATATTTTGGGTGTGCTGATTATATACCTTCTTTTAACTGTTATAAATATTCATGAAAGTAGGTTAATTCAATCTCTAAGTAATATAAACACTCTTAGGAAGTTTAGGATAAAATAGATTTCCTAGGAAATTAAATTATCAAATGGTAGCGAACCATTATCCAAAGTGTGTATCAGTATACTGCAAGATGTGGACAACAGTATCTTAGGTGGCAATGTAGTACCTATGGTAGAAATATTAAATCTTAGTTTGCACAGAATACCTTGACTTTGTTTGGGGTAAAATGGAGCTCTGATTGCCTTTGTGGCATTCTCTAAAGTGTTCCAAAATGGTCTTTTCCATTGGCAGGGATTATAACCCCTAAGATTGATGGAGAATTACAACTTGGAAGAGAAAAGGATTGAGTGCTAAGGAGCATGAATTACCAAAAGGAAAGGAAATGGTTATGTTGTATGTTTGTGAAACTAAGAAAAAGAGGAAGAATGTAATAGAACTGAAGGGAAGTATCCCATGGAATATGTATGTGAATATGCTAGGAAATAAAAGTATAGGCTCCATCATAAAAGGGTTGAAATAAAGCTCAAAAAGTAAGAATCTGTACCAACTAGATTATTGTTAGGGCAAAGGAAAGTAGAAATCTATAGGGGGATAATAGTTACAGGTTACACTCCTGTGAACCAGGATAATGGAAAACCAGTGATGAATTTGGGAAGAAAATGCAATGTTCAGAATGAATACAATTCAGTGAAAAACTTATTCTTTGGATGACAAGAATAGGAGAGTGGAACAAAAGAATGTAGAAGATATGTTTAGGTTATTTAGAAATCTGAGATTAAGTATGCTGACTATTTGGAGAGTATATGCTCAGAAAAAGACCCATTTGTTTTGCATATACAGGTATGGGTTAAGCCTCAGCCTATTCATATTCAATTCGTGTAAATGAAAAGGCAATGCATAGAAAGGCATGGTTTGTTTCAATTTTATAATGAAAGAAAAGAAGTATACGGGAGTACTGAAGAAGTGGATCTTGGGAGGAGGAGGAGGAGGAGGAGATGGAGAAGGAGAAGTTGTTGCTGCTTGGAATTATATTACAGAGTGTCACAGAAGGTACTAAAGGGAAGGGTGAAAAGAATGAAATTGTAAATTAAAAGAGGATATGCAATATATGTGTGTTGTGCGTGTATGTTTATATATAAATTACTGCCAAAATTGAGCATGAAAGTAAAATACTGCATTATGTGTATAGATAAAAAATATGTCAAAGAGTACCATGTCGAAGAAAGCAAGAAATATTAAGCTTAAAACAGACAGAGAAAATACAGAGCAAATTTTCATGGAAGTAAAACGAAGTGTAATGGATATGGGTGAAAAAGGCTAATCAAAGAGCACCAGCAAAGTGAATAGAGATAAAAATAAAAATGATGAAATTGTAAGGATGTTTTGAGAAATGTCTGTGTTTTCTCCAAACCATTAATAATCTGAAATTAAACTTGCTAAATGGTTCAATGCTTGCTGATTATCCAGCAGAATTTTCTTATTGGTTTGCCTCTGATCCCTCCCTAATATAACAATTTTGAGGGCGGAAAAAAGCCACCTTTTATCCAGAATATTTTTGTAGCTAGTATAGCTGGTGGTGAACACTTTCCAGGAGTTTTATTTATTAAGTTCTTAATGTATTATATTTCTTTATTTGACCCGTATTGTTATGGAGGAAGATGACCTTTGCCCTATCCAATGAAATGGGCACCTCAACTGGGAGAAATGATTTCTAACATTTTAAAATCTGATCCAGCTCAGTTGTTACCTGCTCTGGGGAGCCAATTTCAAGCCATCACTCTAACGCAACCCAGCTCCTTCAGCCTGCTGTTATAGCAGCCACAGCCACAGCCTCAAAGACCAGAGATCAGATTTTCACACAGAGAATTGGTTTGACTTAGATTGCCTTGAAGCTAAGAGACCTCTAACCAGGCTTTTTAACAAACCCATAAAAGATCCTTTTTATGTATTCTATACATGATCTGTTACTACAAAAATGGTAGTGCAAGTAACTACTGTATGTCCCTAAGAAGAAAAGGGAATTATTTGGTATGGAACCGAAATGGGAGGATAGGGGAAGAAGCACTTTAAAATTTTGTAGGAAGTAATACTGATACATTAAAGCATGGAATAGGAATAAATGCTGTTAAAGTTAGTGCTCAGGAAGAAAAGAAAAAGAAAAAGAAAAAAAGAAAGTAATAAAAACTATAAAAATGTTGAAAAATGGTATGGCTGTGGCAGTTGCCAGTGTTCAACACTGAACACAAAATAAAACAAAAATAAGTGATGTTCCCTTCATTGTTTGATGTATTTATAAGTAAATTAACAAGAAATGCTTCTGGTGATGTTGTAGAGGCACATTGACTAGAGACAAGGTGCGCATATTTTGTATACAGTATGTTACGAATGTGAATGATTTGCAAAAAAATATTAGATAGAAGCTGTGATAAAATAAGGAGCATGGATGTTATCAAAGATGAAGGTAGTTGTTTTTGATGTGAAAAAAAATAAGAATGAATTGCAAATTTTACATAAATTGTAAAATCAGAACAAATAGGTGAACTTCTTCATAGAATGTTCCTAAGATGGAGAACAAATGGAAAACTATTAAGATGTGAAAATGCTGATAGAAAACTATTAAGCAGCATTTAATCTGATAAAGGAATTTATCAGATTCCTTGTTAAACATTCCTTGTTAAACATTTAACAAAAAAAAAATTAAGAAAGTTCAAACAATATGGAAAAGAAGGTAACATTTTAATTCTTCGTTCTGTTCTGTAAAAAAAAAAATTCTTTTACTCTTGAAAACAAACTGTGGATTTCATTAAATGTTTTGAGAATTCTGCTCATCTGATATAGAATACCCAAATATCCATTAAGAGAACGGAAGAAAAAGAAGTAAGTAGATTAAAGAGTTAAAAGGTTAGGAAAAACTAACGGTTTATTGGTACCTACTAATAAAACAACAACAAAATTTAATGTCAGAATAGTGACACATTTGTCAGTCTTGGAGATGCAGGAAAAATGAAGCACTAAAGGTAATTGTGAAAATTAAACATACTTCTGCTCCAAATAGATACTTGTATTAGAACCACTTTTTTACATGCATCTTCACTACAAATAGAAATGAAATTCCTTAATGTGAATGACTACCATTGAAAAATAGAAAAACTCAACATCCTCCCAAGGATCATGCAAACACAACAGTCTCCTCGTGGCACAAATAGACATGGATTTAGATCTAGAGACAGGAATAGGAGAAGAAATCTACCTTCTTTAGTTTCACTCATTCATCTAAGTAGATCAGGGGTGCCAAACTCGCGGTGTCATGGCGGCGTCATGTGACGCATCACGACTTTTTTCCCCTTCGCTAAACTGGATGTGGCTGTGGCCAGCATGTGACGCATCCGGCTCACGGGCCACGAGTTTGACAGCTCTGATGTAGATGATAAGTATTTTTGGAAAGTAATCAGAATCTAAGTTATTCAAAGTATTCCTTTACAGATTTGCAAATAAACAGGCCATGGTTCTGATACCAGTAGCCTTTAGGTTTGAATGAGGTTTACAATTTATTCACTCTGCCAGATTATTCCATTGCTAGAACAGCACAGCAACTATTTTTTGAGGGCACGAATAGGTATCAGCCTTTCCCCGTGTCCTTCCCACTGCCAGATTGTCCCACTTTAAAGTGCAGATGTTCCTTTTAGGTAGTACCTTGAGCTGACATATTGTGATTAGCATTAGACACACTTTTTAAATAAAGAAAGGACATATAGGAAGAGGGTAATTTGGATCATAGAAATCATGGTCAAGTAAAAGGCCTCTCGTCTATACCGCCTCTTACTAGCTCTTAACTCCACAATAAGGTTCAATTAATTTGAGTCCACTACAGATATCCTCATCATCATCATCCTCTTTTAATGACCCCATAATCCTTTGAGGGTGGGGTCTGGGCAACTGAATGGAGCTGAGTGTTTACTGGCTGGATGCCCTTCCTGTTGCCAATGCAGAGTGTTTTTCAGCAGATATATTCTCTGTGTGCCTAGAGAGAGAAATATCAGCCTCTACCTAGGATTGAACTCACAGCCTACTGATTGTGAGGCGAGAGCTCCCCCTCTAGACCACTGCACCAGAGTCTACTACAGATATGCGTATGTAAAATGGAATAACTACTGTATGATATAATTAAAAAATGTTTTTTCACATGATAAAGATCTTACTACTGAGGCACAGAAAATTTGATTGAGATGACACTGGAATTGACAAGCCATTTTCTTCTTAAACCTAGCTTGCGTAATTGTTGGGCAAATAAAACATTATTGTGAGCTAGCCTGAGCCATGAGGTTAATGAGGTTTTGCCCATCCACAACTTATAGAGCAACTGGTTGTCAGAAACATACCTTTCTCATAGTTGTCTTCAGCTACTGCTTTCTCCTGAAGCTTCTGAAGTTTTCTCATCAAGGATTTCATCTGTATCAATTAAAAGATCATGAGCAATATTCCTCTATGCTGCTTTGAAAAATTGTGACCTAAGCACTGAATATATGATCACAACAATCCAAAAGTTTTGATTTCATTCCACTTGGCCCACCCATTTCTGAAGACACTTCTGTCACCCCACATTGTACAATCATCATACATAATTCAAGAGCACCCAGAGTAGGCATAATGATATAATGACAGGATATATTTATATGAAGATGTGAAAATCAGATGAGTTTCCCATGATTCCTAAATTGGAAAAAAATCAAACACATGGCAGATTGCTTATCTTACCCATCTTGAGATTTGCAGGCTTCAACCAGGAAATCTTAAGTTAAAAATTAATTAATTCCATTTAGGTAAGGCTCACCAGTAGCAGTGGTAGTATTCTGAAAGATTGGGTAGGTAAGAGCAATGAGAAAAATATGTAGCAAGGAGAGTGAGAGAAAACTAAAATGAGATTAAAGGGCAGCAAATATTGTAAACTTTTGGCAGAAAGAGAGTAGAAAGGTCAAGATATTTGGAAAACAAAGCATTCAAAAACTTTTGGGTGCTCCATTATTAAAGGTTTTTAAGAGGAGATTGGACAGCCATTTTTCCAGAATGGTATATGAACTCCTGCTTGAGCAGAAGACCTACAAGGTCTCTTCCAATGATGCAATTCTGTACTTCTGCAACTTATTTTGCTTACTAATTATAACCATCCAGCAATATCTTCATAGGCAACTTCTCAAATTCTCAGTAGAAACGTCCCCCAAAATAAGCATTACAATACAACAGTTACTGCATTGCTTTATATTGAATGTATATACTTGCTTAAAATTCTATCACGCAAAATGGGCACAAAGAATACAAACCTTTACTAAACGACGATTGCCCAGCAAACATTCCTGTAATACTGGTTCATACTCCTTCATCAGAAAATCCCAACTGTGGTCACTAGCGATGCCACAACTCTCATAGCCTGAAGTCACCGAAGAATCAGCAGATGTTGCCTCTAAAGAATCCGTGGAAGAAGAGAATGCATTATTTGCATGGAAAGGTGAGAGCCTCCCACAGTCCTGCAAAATGTCATCTTCTGTAGTTTCCAAGGGGCAGGTACCAACTTCATTGCACAAGGAATTACGTGAAGCCCACAGTTCCGTTCGTGAAATTCTTTGGACTTCTCCAGACGGATGAAAATTAATATTTTCTGTTTTCTCTATTCCACCTAATTGTACAATTTCTTTAGATTCCCTACTTCCCGATTCACCTGCAGCAGCTTCAGAGGCTAAATTTAGTGAGAGCTGGATGAAACTAAAATGTGAGTGAAAGGAATCCTGAAGACTGGAAGGACCATTGGAAGTTTCTTGGTTTTCAGGCTCCTGGGTGTTGATCCCTTTCTCCTGATGCTGAGCACATAATCTTTCTTTCTTTTGTGAACTAACATCCTCAGAAGTCTTCTCCGCTGCATCTAGCAACTTGCCCGACCATGCAGACAAGCTTCGTGTAGGTGAGACATCTCCTTTATGGTGGTTAATCGCAGGAGAATCTGACAAGATTGCTGCATGGGTCTGAGACATTCTGTTGTATTTGTGGCAACAGTAGGTCTAAACAGCACGCCAGAAATAGAATAATCCCAAAACAGGTTCACATGGTATCTTCAAAGAACAGGACTCAAGTTCTTGATTGTGTGCTATCTGTATTGCTCAGATAGTTTGATTCACTGACAGATGGAGGGTGAAATTCTACATCTTGTAGGATCCTGGCTCCTCTTCCACCTTCTCTTAAGAATCCACGGGTAATTAAAAATATTGAATCTCTAAAATAAACAAAGTGGGAAAATGATCACAAATGTATTTTTCCACATAAGAGGACATCTTGGAACCTAATTTGAAAAAAAAAACCCCACACAATACTGCACAGATTTATATCTTATCATATTCTGTTTACAAAAAGCAGGGCTCCCGAGGTGATAGCGACTTCAAAATTGCTAATTAATAAAATGTAATTTTTAATGTGATAGGAAGTGTTTACTAAAAAAAACAGGGCTTGATGATAATAATTTATTTTTATTTTTAGTTGTATTTAAAGCCAAGTAAAAGGTAGTACTTATTCAGACGTTATCCACTATTTTGGAGATTTGGCCCCCAGCATATTACTTAAAGATCATAGTTAATTGTCAGCCTGGAAAAGCCTTGTTCTAATGGATTGTGCCATGTTTTTCCCAGAATTTTTAATTGTTCAGATTTCTGTCCATAATTAATTCATATCATTATCAAACGTAGCAGACATACACATATTTTTTGCTGCTTTTTATCACACACAGCAAATAGAATTTAGGCAATTTAGACAAAGAACCAATGAAACTAATTCTAAATAGTATGAATGACAATTTTATCTTGACCGTGTGCTGCCTATAAGAGAAACTATTGTGCAAAATAAAGATTTGAAATAATGGTTTTAAAAAGATTGATAGGAAGCACCCTGTGATGTTCTGACTGACATTTTTGGATAGTAAATCAAAGAATTATCGACATGATCTCTTTTGCTATATGTAAAGTATGGTATCAGCATCAGTGAGATGCAAGATAAAAAGATTTTGGCTCATACACATAAACATTCCTTACTACTGAAATACATTTTGAAGCAAGGGTATTGCAATATAAAAAGCTATGTTATATTAATGTATTATAGTATAATAATCCACACATACACTAACATGCCTGATAGAAACCTTAGAAGTGGACTGTAACCCACAAAGGTTTGACCATTACAACAAATGAAGATGATTCAGGTTTCCTTCTTTGATTGTAAAGGCAAATTTGAAGACCTGCCCCAATTATCTACAAAGAGCAGATAAATCTGTTTCTACCCAAAACTTCAAGTGCCTCTTTACCATCATTTTAGGGCTTTTCCAAACCTTCTAAATGTATGAACACAAATCTGCCTTATCATGAAATCTCAACATGTGTTGTCAATGCAAATCTCTCTCCAAGGGTCCACAAAGATGATTTAATCTGGGAAAGATCTTTTTAACAGTCTTAAGCTTTTATCCAGTTGGGTTCCAGGTAGTCCCAAATGCCTTCAATTTCAAACATACCAAATGTAGGCATAAACATCCAACCAGCTCTGATTCTCCCATCATCTCAATTCATCCTTCTTAGTCACCCCGGTTAGAGATTCACCAGGTCATTCCACCAACTGCAAGAATTTCTATAGTTCCTATCATTTGGACAATATTCTTTGTCATGTAACTCAGATAAAATGACTCTAAGAAGCAAAAAGTGAACATCTGACAAAGCTGAGTCATCTCCACTGACTTGTTGTGGCTGTGATAGAAAAGGGGAAAATATTATCACGTATCTAATTTTTTTTCAAGTATCATTTCTCCACTTTGCATAAATCCTCAAATCAGTCTTTCCTGATTTTCAAACATTTGGTGCTATAGAAACATCCCCAGTCACTTGACTTCATTAAGAGATAGCTTGCTAGATACTATCTATTCTCAAATATAAACACCAGTCAATTGAATTAAAATTCCCATTAAGAGAGCTCAGAGTCAAGCCTATAGAATGAAGTCAGCAAATGAATGGATGAATTTGTGCATTCGATAAATTCAAATGCAGGCTTGCTAAGAATCAATATACAGATGTGTTCCAAAGACTGGTGTTACATAAGTTCAGTCTTGTCTTTTAAGATCACACACATCAAAAAGAAATTAAACAATTGCAGCAGTATTTTCTTTCAGGTCTGTAAAATATAAGTATTCATTCCTTTATTCTAGCTTGAAAAAATTCTTGTTCCTTTAATTTAGGTTCCCTTGAACCATGTCTTAATGGCTGCTATAATAGCAACATGCAGATTCACAAAAAATGATACTGGATATATTGGAAGCAGGAGAAACACCAGCTGGTAAGTGGCTTCATGTTATTCATGCTACTGTAACTAGAGGAAAGCTCCTTCTGTAAGTTTCCTATTCCCAGAAGATACCATCTGCTGTAATTAGCTTTAGTGTAAGCAAGCCAATTGAATGTTTGGGTTTTAATTGTAGGCTCATTTTATTGTGCTGACCTCTAAATACTTAACAGAACTCAAGACTTTAGTGAGAAACAGCATCTACAAACCAGGAACTGGCATAAAACATTGAAATACATTCATCCTCTAATCAATTCTTCCCAGCTTGTTCCCCTGTTTCCATGGAATTTAAGCACAACATTAAATATTGACATCTTTGGAAACAAGCACAGAGTTGTCGGATGTTCTGTGTTGATTGATTCGCCCAATCCTATTGGTTTGTGCAACAGCAGGAATGCAGACCACAGTCTGAAGACACATTATGTGACAGAATTGGACTGATTCATACTTAGATGGATAAACATTTGGGAAGGCTATATAAATTACATTGAACACCATGCAGGAAAGGTGAACTATGAATTTATTTATTTATTTATTTATTTATTTATTTATTTATTTATTTATTAAATGTATATACCGCCCTATTCCTAAGGGACTCAGGGCGGTGAACAGCGAACGATAAAAATACATGTAATACAAACGTTAATAATAAAAAACCAATTAAAATATACTAAACATTCTGGTCCTAGATAATTCAAGACATCCCAGTTTAAAATAAAATCAAAAAGCAATATAAAGGGAAAGTTAGGCCAGGCCGGCCTGCTGAAACAGGAATGTTTTGAGGGCACGGCGGAAAGTGCGCAGATCCGGAATCTTCTGTATCTCTGGGGGGAGCTCGTTCCAGATGGTGGGTGCCCCCACAGAAAAGACTCTCCCCCTGGGGGCCGCCAGTCGACATTGTTTGGCTGACGGCACCCTGAGAAGCCCCTCTCTATGGGAGCGTACTGGGCGGTGAGAGGCTATTGGTGGCAGAAGGCGGTCTCGTAAGTACCCCGGTCCTAAGCCATGGAGTGCTCTAAAGGTGGTAACTAAGACCTTGAAGTGCACCCGGAAGACCACAGGGAGCCAGTGCAGCTCGCGCAGGAGGGGAGCCACATGGGAGCGCCATGCTGCTCCCATAACTACCCGCGCGGCCGCATTCTGGACCAGCTGGAGCCTCCGGGTGCTCTTCAAGGGGAGCCCCATGTAGAGAGCATTACAGTAGTCCAGGCGTGAAGTGACGAGGGCATGAGTGACCGTTTTTAACGAGTCCCGATCCAGAAAGGGACGCAACTGGCAAATCAGGCGAACCTGATAAAAAGACCTCCCGGCCACAGCTGTCAAGTGTTCTTCTAAAGACAGCCGTGAGTCCAAGAGGACGCCTAAGTTGCGAACCCTCTCCATGGGGGGCAATGACTCATCCCCAATAGTCAGTGATGGCACCAATTGACTATATCGGGACGTCGGAAACCACAGCCACTCGGTCTGTGAATTAAATGTTTGTGTTTGATGCAACTCTTATCTAGAGCCCAATTAAAAAGAATGGGCCATTTTCATTCTTGTGTAGTCTACATTTTTAATGCTAGAATCCTCATGTTCTTCCAAATATATGGAGATAAAAGATTCATAATAATTTTTAAAAAAGGAGTAGCATCAGAGACACAGGCAATGGATACAGGGCTCTGCCAGACCCATTTATCACAAGAAAGAAACAATTTCATTTACATCTGTGAACAACTGATGAAATACATTTCCAAATTATACCAGCTTCACATATTACAACATACATTAAGCGGAGTTTTTCTAAATAGTGTTCTAGTTCTCAGAATAAAATGCAAGATTTTGCCACCTGCCTTGGCCCACACTACCCTTTCCAGAGCACCAGATGCAATATCTCTTCCTCACCTTCCTAATAATTTAGGAATAGGTTTGTGTTTGCTCATCAATAACATGCACAGGTCTCGGCTGCAGTTGTGGATGTTTATGCCATGAAACTTCCACACTCAAAGCTGAGGTCTAGTTAGAATTTGCTGTGCACTTTACTTGGACAATCAAGACAGAGGAAACAAGTTCTGACAACAATTCAGCTTTCCATAGACTTTGCGTAGAAGGACAGATTCATCTTGCCCAAGCAAAGTAGGAGTGAGTACTCACTGCAATGATCCTTATTTTTATACACAAGCACCATTCAATTATGTCTCCCTCATAAATCTGATGGCAACCCTTCCCAGGAATGTCATAACCTACAATTTGACTGTACATCGTGCCAGAATGTGGAATATGTTAAAGCTACTTCATATGCCAAAACAACTAATTATTTTTCTGAGGAGTCTTTATCATGATCAAAAATCCACTATAAGAATTAAATCCATAGAAAAGAGTGGTTCAGAATTGAGAAGGAAATAAAATTTCTCACAACTACTTCATGTGCAGTATATAGCTAGTAGGTTATAGGTATGGCAAGGAATGGGAAAAGAATATAGCTGGGAATTAAAATTGGAGACTGAAATCAGGAATGATTTGAGTTATGCAGATGGTGCTATGTTGTTAGCCAAGAGTAAAGAAAGGCCAGTTGTTCAAATCAAAATGGTAAGTGAAACATTTGGGTTCATGTTAAACACTAAAAAAACAATGATAATATCAAATTTCTTGCTTTGTGAATTTATAGCTGATACTGAAAAAGCAAAGGTTGTAGTTACTTTTCCTTGACTGAAGAATAAAGACAAAATGTGCCATAGAAACAGAACAAAAGTTCCACTAGAAAAATTGTTGTGACAAATTTAGGCAAACTGTGAAGGTTAAATACATTTCAATTATAAGAAAAATCAGAATGGTTAATGAAATAGTTAATGAAAGTTATTTCCAGTGTGCCAAGGGTTTTTGTGAAATCTGGACCATGAGAAATACTGAGAGAAAATCAGATGC